TAGTTTTTGAGTTATCAGTTTTTGGGTAACTGGTTTTCTGGTTACTGGTTTTTGAGTCACTGGTTTTCGGGTCGCCGCACCCCCCTGTGCTCAGGCTTCCTGGTGAAAGGATGTTGGGAAAATAGATCTCTGGTTTGATCCAGTATAGCCTTAACAGTCCTTAACCTTACAGAAAGGAGGTTGTGCATGTGAAGAATCTTATCCCTCTCCTTGCTGCCACTGGGCACGTTTCTTCTCGGCCATCTGTTTCTTTCAAACTTCATCTTTCAATTTAAGATCTCTTCCTTGTGCCTACAGGGTTGTGCTCATCTGTGGAGGAAAAAAAAAGATTGTAGCCATTCCCTAGGAGGTGCTGAGTCGCCAGCATGGTGGTTTTCACCTGCAACGCATGTGGGGAAGCTGTGAAGAAAGCACAGGTTGAAAAGCATGTGAACATCTGCAGAAACTGCCAGTGCCTGTCTTGCATGGATTGTGGCAAGGATTTCTGGTAGGTGAAGGATGGCAAGCAGCTTTGCTCACCCTGCAGGGGTTGGCACAAATAGATCTTTCTGTGGTATGTTAGGAGTTAAATTCGGTTATTTCTGGGTAATTAATATTTGCATTTTAAAATTATACAAAAATAGTGTATTATATATTGTATTAATTATATAAAACTTATATAAATGCAAGCTTAATGATCCAGGTTTGGACCTCACAACTAAACCACAACAGTAAACAGGGATAAGTGACAAAGCTTTCAGCTTCTGATCATCGACAACTCTTACTTTGCTACTGCAGAGAGAGTGAGATTGCCAGCATTCCTTTTTGGAGTGCTTGCACATTGGTCAAAACTTCACTACCACATTAGTATATTGATACTTAGGACTTAGGGTTCTGCAAAAGTTTTTTTGCCTGCTTTTGTGATTTTAAAATGTGTCAGTCTCAGTAGTGAAACACAGCTGTGTTACACATACAGATGTGCATAACTTGTAGAGCCATTAAGAAAAGCAGCAATATACTGAAGACATACCTGATCTTGCAAGTCATGGATTTTCACTGAAGGCTGGAGCATTACAAAAATGTCAGTGATCTTGTAAACATGTGGCTAAAGCACATTGGATTTTACTCCTATAAGTGTTGCCAGTAATAAGGTTTAAAGGATAGATGCTCTCATCTGTTACTTCAGTTTGTTGATGGGATAAGTGTTGCATAGTTTGAAGGGCTGAAGCATTTCAGTGACCTCTGGTTATAAATCTATGCTCAGGGGTGATGACTATAAGGAACATGTGAAGTGTGTAAGTGAAGACCAGAAATATGGTGGAAAAGGTTTTGAAGCCAAAATTCACAAAGGAGATGCTAAACAGCAAGAGTGGATTCAGGTAAGGTTTGTACTATATACAGATAAAATAAGTAACTATTGTTTATAATCTTTAGTGACACAAGAGAAGCTATACTGGATCAAACCAGAGATCTGTTTTTCCCAATATCCCCAGTTTTCTTCTGGCATTTCCTTGGTAGGTCTGTTGCTTATTCTGGTAAGGAATGCATCTTTTGTATGTTTTGAATCTTTCTCTTACTAGTGTGAGTTAATGTCATGTTCCCAGTTGCAGACAAAGAGACATTGGTAGTTGTCCATCCTCTTCATGCCATCGATGCTTTTGTAAAACCCACTCTCTTACAGCTGTCCTTCAAAGGTTTTTGGAAGGAACTCAAAACTCATTTTTTCAAACCCCATTAGTGGTAAGTTAGATCACCCTTAGCCATAGACCTGTTGATTTCTATCTTGTATAGAACACAACCCAACAAGGTGCAAAGCTACATGCATAGTCAAGGCATATGATTAATACCATTTAAGTCAGAGCTGAGTGCTGTTGTTGAGACTGAACATTGTTTGAGGACAAAGTTAGAGGCAGTGTGATGTGAGTGCTATTGCTTATGAACATTGCTAACCTGCCTCAGTAGTAAGTACTTCTATACAGAAAGGATTATTAGCAAACACCTTGTTGTGATTGTCTTAACACCTCCACAAAACCTTTCAGTCAGCAGATTTTCAGCTCTCCAGTGTCTGGTGGGTGGATCTTTAAATACCAGGAAGGTCTGAGACTTTGCCCCCCACAAGCAGCAGTGGAACTATCATAACTCCCTGGCCTAATCTCCTCTGTTCTCTTGTGCTGACACCCGTAGCACAGAAATATCCTGAGCTGTCTTACAGGGATTAATGGCACTGCTGCCAGAAGAAATGCATGTCAAACTGTGGCATCAAAGTTAGCCTGGTTTTTCACACGTAACTCCAGAAGTTTGTCAAAACCAATCAGTTGACAATTTGATTTCTTAATGCAGGTCTGTTTCATACTGCAGGAATCCCTTATGTGATACAGTTACTTTACCTTTAAATGGTTTTGTTACAGATTGTAACTTGTAACTTGATGAGCAGTCCTGCTTGCCTCTGCTTACTGCATGGGTATAAATGTTTAGATAGATAACTTTGGCACATCTAATGTTCTATGACAAAACCAAAGGTCAGTGTTCTCATGCATTTTGAGTATTTGCTATGAGCAGACTGTACCAGGCACGGGTGCTGGATGGTTTCTACCCAGTGTGTTTCAGACTTTGCATGTATCATTTGATCATTGTGCTGCTTTGCTGATTGCATTCTGGTTTTCTTCATTCAGAAAATCCATGAAGTGCTGAAGAAGCCCAGCATAAGCCCCAAAGTGAGGAACATCCTGGAGCAGATGCGTGCCTTTGATAACATTCCAAGGAAAAAAGTAAAGTTTCAGGTATGTTTTGTTCTAGATTTGTAGTAATCCATGCAGTGAGCTTAAATATAGACATTCTTAGGGATTGACACTTCCTTTTAACAAAGCTGGGGCAAATTTCTGATTTGGGCATTGGTACAGATGGTATAATAGCTGAATTTCAAATAGGCAGTGTTTGTAAAAGACATTTTCTTGCTTAAAAGGACTCTTTGTATACCAGTTCAGTGAGGTATTAAGCCAGAGACTCACCATTTAAGCTAAATTTCCATGTGTAGACTTGTTCTTATTTTAATACCTTTGAATGTCCAGATTCTTAGACATACTTTTAAAGATTTATTTCTGTGACTTTGTTTTTTTTCCCTGGTGAAAGCAAAATCCTGTTTTGAGAGTTTTCCTGTTACTTAGTGTTCTGACAGAATCTTGCACACTAAAGTGAATTCCAAATGTTTCATGTGGTATCAGTAAGAATTACTAACAAGCTGGCCTGGGTTTTTTTTCCCCCCTATTCTGTGCCTCAGACTGTGAGGCTAAGAGAAGATCATGCTTGCTTCCAAAGCACTCAGAACCTAAAAGAGATGTGGCAAAATTGCTGCTGGCAAGCTGAAGGTTACAAATTGTTCCACAAAATTAATGCTCTCAGTAGGCAAAATGCTATTATCAAGAAGCCTTTCTTTTTGCTATGTTGCAGTGGAATGTCAAAAGTTTTTTCAGTTTGTTGCTCCAATTTACTCATACACCTTTCCTGGCATTTTCATTGCAATGCAAAAACCTTTACATTAGGTTTTACGTAGAATTCCACATTTCTAAAAGTTGATCTGTTGCTGATAGTATGAACAGCATCTTATAAGTAGAAATTTATTGCTTGCATTTTGAGTAGGAACTCCTGCAATAACCACAACAACTTTCAAATGTTTGCATTGAGATATTTGCTAAAATTTTATTTTTCTGTAATAAACCAAGTTACCCATTTAGGAGCATGACCATCTGTCCAGGACATAAATAAATAAGATCAGATCATTAATGTTTTAACTCATGGGAACAGTCAAAAGGTTTGGTAGGACATTAACATAACCAGAGCCTAACATAACAAAAGCCTGAGGATTATCTTTTATACATAT